TTAATGTCAATTAATTATTAATATTGGGAATGTTGGAATTCCCAATATTTTGTTACATATATATGTCACAATAAAAAAAAAGCCTCATACCACGTAAATTATTGTTTTATTAAGTCATTGTTAAATGTTGCTCTTCAGTCTGGACAGGGTCAAATTTGAACCCAGGTGAAATGACCTTCTCAACTGTCATGGTGCTGCCTTGGCAGGAATAGAATCCAGATTGCCTGTGTTACCTTCTTTTCCTTTATCTCTTATTTCCCACTGCTTTAAGACTCAGTTCAAAGGCCAGAAGAGCGCTGGTATTTAAAAGAAAAAGTGTAATTTTATCCAGAGAAGGTAAATGTATGCCCTGAAATGAAAGAAAGACTAGAGGTCCAGACCAGGGCCAGGTGTTCCTGGAAAGATCCATATTAGACAACTAAATTGGTAACGTTGCCTGCTTTTATAGAGATACTTTGTTGCTATTTGTTTAATCAACATAGTTTTGTCTCATTTATATATATATTATCTTCCCAGGTAAGAAAATTCTTAACTTACTAGTGTATTGGTAACATGTTGTATTCTTTTTATGAGATCATAGTACTTGAGTAACAGAAAGAATACAACATGTTGTATTCAAGAATATATGCATGCCTTCATGAAATGAAACAGTAAAAATAATCTTGAATCCTTCCTTTTACCTTAAAGATTTTTCGAGGCAGGAACAACCAAGAATAAGATAGTGAAAGATGATCTAGTTTCTAGTGGAAAAAGCAAAATTGAAGCTAAAATACAGTGGTGTGGTGGTGGTTGTGAGCCTTACAGTAGGTTCCGACTCATAGTGACTCTCTGTTGGGTTTCTGAGGCTGTAAATCTTTACTGGGTCAGAAAGCATCATCTTTCTCTTGCAAAATGTAGCATGGGTATTATTTATTTCGAGCTTTTAGGAAAGCAAGAAAATTGAGTTGAAAGAACACTGTTTAGGTTAGTCCAAAGTGAGACAGTGTGATCTGGTGCCAAAAGACCTAAGAGGATGGGAGGGCAGTAAATAAATGTTTTTAAAAGAAAACCTTGAGTGGAAAAATGTGTGACCAGTATCACAGCATATATAATTTCTTTATAGACAAAGTGAGAAATTTAATCTTTGATGGTTAAAGCCTCAGAAGTTTTTGAACAGGAGACCACTGGACATTCAGAATCTCCTGAAATCATTGTGGGAAGCAGCCAAAGGCATCATAGCAGTTGTTCATGGATGTACTATTAGGAAAGAGGGAGCATGGTGGCTCCATACAATAAGCACTAGATGAAAAACTACATGGTTGGTGGTTTACGAGTCGCTTCATGGAAGAAAGATGAGTGTTTATTCTCCCTCGAATATTTAAGGCCTCAGAAATCCTGTGTTGTTGTTAAGTGCTGTTGAGTCGATTCTGACCCATAGCGACCCTTTATCAGGTTTTTAAGGAGCAGCTGGTGAGCTTGAACCACTGACCTTGCATTTCAAACAACTTTGCAGTCTGACTCATTAGCTCAAAGCCCCATACCAGAGCTCCCAGAAAGCCTATACAGAGCTGCTATGGAACCGACTTGATGGCACTTAACAACAATAATTAGTAAATAACTAATTTAGGAATGATGTGCAAAGCATTAAATTTAGGCAAGATGTAAATATGAAAACAAGAGAGAGGATGTGTATTTGTGAGATCATAGGTAAGTTGCTTTAGCACAGTTTGAACCGTGCGTACAGATTGAACAAGGTACAGTTTCAGAGGGAGCAAAGTTTGGTGAAGTTCAATTAAAAATTATATTTCATTTTACTTAGTTGCTGTTAACAGGTAAATGAAAGGGAAGATAACTCACCAAAGATCCTTGAAGAAGCCTGCGAAAGCAAAGTATTCCAGAACAGGAGAGAACTGAAAATGCTCAAATGTCCTTGGGAAGAATGTATTCTCTCTGATTGTTGGGTACAGAGTTCTGTGAAAACCAAAGTTTTAAATTTTTCTGTCAGCTCTTCTCTTCTTAATGATTTTGTTTGGCCTTCTTGCCCTTTTCATAACTGAGGAAAATGCATTGGAAGCTCTCATGAGAGATTCTCCTTGCTATTTCTGCTTTTGGTATAATTGAGGCTTTTTTCAAGGTACATAGGATAAGAACTGGGTTGCTAACCACAAGCTCAGCAGTTCAAATCCAGTAGGCACTCCACAGAAATGAGGCTTTCTGCTCCTGTAAAACATTACAGCTTTGGAATCTCTATACAAGGTCCCTGTGAGTTGGAACTGACTCAGTGACACTCAACATAAGTTAGAACTATAATAGCTCTGGTAGTGTAGTGGTTACGAATAGGGCTGCAAACCTTGAGGTCAGCAGTTTGAAACTACCAGCTGTTCCATGGGAGAAAGATGAGGTGTAATGCTCCCAAAAAGATTTACAGCCTTGGAAACCCTGTACAGAGTCGCTATGAGTTGGTTCCGACTCCACGGCATATAACCACCACTACCATAATCTCTTTGTGAAGATAATATTTTAAAAAGTGAATCTTTTATAATTTATGATCATTTCAGCTGTGTTTTCTTAAGGTGCCCTGTAGTGTGGTGGGTTACACGTTGGGCTGCTTACTGCAATGTTGGCAGTTGGAATCCGCCAGGCGCTCCATGGGAGAAAGATGAGGTGCTCTGCTCCTGTAAAAATTTACAACCTTGGAAACCCTATCCAGGGTCACTGTAAGGTGGAACCGACCAGTGACCCAGTCATGTTTGTTAATGTTTTTTGTTTCAAGTCATTTTTTCTAATTGTGGCAAATAAATGCGTAACAAAACACTTGCCACTTCAACATTCGTCATATGAAAATTAGTGACATTATGCTTATCATGTTGGTCAACTTCTACCATTATCCATTATCTTTAAACTTATTTTGGTTGATGTTCTTATAGCTACATAGTTATTTGTTTGATTTATCTCCACCCCCCCCCACTCCACCCCCATTCCTTTTGCTTTCAACTTTTCTATAACTTTAAGTTCTGGTGTGGCACTGTAGGATAAACATTGAACTATTAACCTCAAAGTTGAGAGTTCAAACTCACCAGCCACTTCTGGAAAAGTGTATCTAGGGTTGCTGTGAATCAGAAACAACTTAATGGCATTTAGCAACAACAGCAAGTGCCATTCAGCTTTATATGTATTCCTTATTAAAAAAAATACAAGATTCAGAAATCTATCCTGTCGTTCTAATGAGATATTGTTATTTTTAAAGTATTAACTTTGAGTTACATATAGAGTTGATGTTGTATTTGGTTACTCATTCTTTCTTAAAATATTTACTGATGAAGGTTAAAAATCATAGCCCTCAGTATGGGTTATACCTCAATGTGAAAAACAAAAATACTTACCACTGCACCAGTGAATGGCATCATGACACATGGAGAAAAGATTGAAGTTGTCAGATTTCATTTTTCTTGGATCCACTGTCAAGAACCATGAACACAGCAGTTAAGAAATCAAGTGATGTATTAGATTTGATAAATCTGCCGCACAAAACTTCTTAAAAGTATTTAAGAGAAGAAGAAACAAGATGGTGGCTCTGGTAGAAGTATAGTGAGGAGTTCCGTAAGCAACACAGAGTACCGGACAAAGCAGGCTCAGGGGATGGTGCCAGAACTCTGAATCACATATAAAGGAATATTTAGAAGGTTAGAAGGCTTATA